CAAGTGAGTATACAGAGTTCCAGAGTTCAAAATATTCAAACAAGAACAAAACCAGACTAAAAAGGGTTAACAGTACTGTTTTCCAATCCTTGGCAGACTTCCCGGAATCTGTCTGGTAATTCAGAATTGTCCATCAATCACAGAGGCCACTCCACACGTATCCTTTCGACTCATCAAACACTTTGCTTCCAAGCAAAGTTTGAGAGTCAGCATGCCTCCTTAAATCACCTGGATGGGCATGTCAGTCTCTCTAATCAATGTCTGGCTTGACGCCTCCCTTCAGATTGACGTTTCAATCGTCTCCTAGTTCTAGCATCAAGCCAAGATCTGTCAGTTTCCCCACTAGAAGCCCCTGACTCATTTTGTGGATCAGTTGCTGGCATGAGCGAAGTCGAAGGTTCTGGGGAGGATTGTCTCTCCGACAATCTCTCATCCTCCTGGCTCACATCTATGTCCTCTGATAATTCAGACTCCACATTCACAGCAGGCTCCAACCTTCCATCTTCAGAGTCATCAGAGTATGCACCATTCCTCTAGAACAGGGATGTCAAACTGTATTTCTTCAAGGGCCAGATCAGCATTGTAGTTTTCCTTTAAGGGCTGGTGGTGGGGCAGTATGGATGCCTCCTGCTGGCCAAAACAGGGCATGGGAAGTCTGCGTGTGGTTCCCTGCACTTCGTTTTTGCCCTCCATGGCCTCTTGTAGCACTCTGTTGGTAAAAAACCTGGTGGCCTGTTTGGGGGACTTTTTTGGCCCATTTTTTGGCCATTTTGGACCCTGTTTTTTGGCCTGTTTTGGACCCATTTTTTTTGGCCATTTTCAGCCTGTTTCTGGCCGACAGAATGCTGCAGGAGACCAAGGAGATTGAAAACAAGCCCCCCCCCCCCCCCCAGCCCAGTTTTATCCAACAGAGGCACCGTAGGCCAGCCCCACGGGCTGGATTTAAGCACCCCATGGGCCACTGCTCTAGAAAGTACTACTTATAAAACACAAGCAAACAACACAATTTCTGCAAATGCTCATGACTGATATAAAAGGGCAATATTCATGGGATAACTGGGATGCTTCTTCCCAAATAAGCACGCACAGGATAGATATTACACCCTAAGAGCTCATCATAGCTGTTAGAATACAATATAAGGCTTCCCAGTTCCACACTCTCTGGCAGTTTGCATTTTGTTTGATTGACACCTTGCCAGTAAACATTATTGCTCCATAACCCAGAACAATAATTGTTTAGTTGAGTGATTAGTGGCTGCCTGGGTCTATGTGACACTGAAGAAAATGATTATTTATTGGGGCAAGTATGTATGGAACAACCTTCCCAGTGAGGCTGTATTCCCTCATAGCTGTCCAATTAGGTTGTTTGAATGAGAGCCTGGCAGTCATGGGGGAAGTGCCAAAAAATACAGATGGTCAAGTAGCAACCTTTCCCAATGTAAATGATGAAGTGGCAAGGCATGGAAGAAATATTTTCAGGGTAGATAGACATTGGAACAAATTATTCTGGCTCTCAAGGCTGGGGAAAAAATCAAGTCCATTTAATTGGAAGCAAGGGAGAAAATACATACAATTTAAATCTTGAAGCAAGTAAGCAGGCAGGCAGGCAACAGGCATATGTGTGGCTTAACTTGTAAGACATGTTACAGGCAGATTTTGTCTGTATGAACAACTGCTTTCTTGTTTGCAATAAAGCTACCCATCAACCCACATTAAATCTATAAAATCTCTGCTATTAGCTGGCTACTGAATACAGGGTTGAGTTTTTGAAAGTCTAGATGTATTGCTATCCATGTTGTGTATACAAACAGCTGTATGACACAGATTACTGCTGTATGAAAATAATAAAGGATATTTTGTAGATGCATGCAGAGAGACTGGAATTGCTGGATATTTGCACAGCTTGCACAGAGTACAACACCCAATCTACTGTTACTTTTACTTTCTTATATTGAAGGCATCTATACAACACAACACTAAGACTAGAACCATGTTTACTGTAATGACCATTGGGTGCCTGCTTTACAAGAAAGAGGAACCTTGAACAGTAAAACTTTACAGAAATTGTCACTTGCAAGGCAGGAAATTGTCTGATTGGCTGGCTCTTTGTGGGAATCTAGGTTGGTCCTTGTCTGTATATGTGGGGTCAATTTATTATTTAGGCAAGATGGATCTTTCAGGGGGATTCATTGTTCTCACGCCTCTTTGGGATCTGTTTTTTAAACTAGGTGGGGAAAAAAGATACCTTGGATGAATTTAAAATGTAACACATCTAATTGGGACAGTATAATTGCAGCACAAACACATATCACAAAGTTCAATTTTAAAGTCAACATAATTTAACACCATTATTATCAGGTACTGATCCTAACACTAGGTAAAAGGAGAACTTTGGGAAAAGGACTAAATTCAAATTGTATTATTTAATATAAAACAGAACAGTGATTCCAAAGATGATATAATCCAAATATTTTTAACCTATAAAGAAATGCATTTCTTAATGATAAGAGACTAGGCCTCATTAATACTTAGAAGACGATAAATGAATATTAGGGTTATAGATTAGATTGTGAAGTTAAAAAATACCCAAACCAATCAGAAAGCTAAAAGTCCATACTTTTGTTAAGAAAATTATATGGATATGTCCCTAGGGACACAGGAGTTGAGCTAGTCTAAATATTAACAGTAAAATAAAGGATATCTTGTACTGTTTATTCTTAGGTAATCTTAAAGGAAAAAGTCCCTCTAAGCTCTCTTAGTGGAATAAAGAAATTGCATATAGCATATATCTTACAAGCAGAAATTCCATTTTATGAAATTTTCTTCAAAATAAATGATTGTTACAGTGAAAATCTTTTATCCAAGTTCTTTGTTGTTCCTTCAATAGAAATAACAAAAATCTTGTAAAATAGCTGTATTGAACCACAGAGAATCTTGAGGAACTTTTTGAATAGCTGACAAGAAGTGATGTAGAATCACATTGGGAGTTATAAGCCAAGTAAAATTATATTTAAATTAGTTATCTGAACCTAATAAAACTTCTGGTCTTGTTTATTTAAAACATTTTAATCTCCTTTAATCTATTTTGCTCTCACAATAAATCATATTGTCTCATGTTACATTCAGTAACAACATACTAGGAATTTGCTGGATCCTGTGGAGAACCACAAATGCATCTGACAGCCCCACTTTAACAGGATGATTAGTTGAACTTATCTGTGTCACTGAGACAGGAATCTGCCAAAAAAGGGATAAAAGAGATAAGTTTTTGAGACAATCAATTTTTGATAATATCTATTTATCACTAACATGCCATATTATAAAATGTAATCAAATGCTGAACAAGGTTCACACATGGTAACCTGATTCTCCTTAGCTTTATGTAGAGTAAAAGGAAAGGAGGGGAGGAACATTTTCAGTGTTGCAAACTTGTGTTAATGTAACCTAACAACAAAAGCAGAGTTAGTATTCATACTTGTGCTTGTCTGGATTACCGGAAGGGCTAATATCAGGCTCTTTTTCCTGTCTCTGAAGAACATTTCCACATACCATTACATCTCCCTCTACTTGCTACTGGGCTCTGCTTTTATCAGAAATGGAGTTTATTTATAACTGCTCTCCACAGATTTTCTATACAACATTAAACTGACCTTTCAAAAAAGAGTACATTCATTTGGGGATGAGAAAACATTACACAATAAAAAATACAATGAGATGAAAGCTAATATTTAAAGTTTTGGCAGACCTGCTCACCAATTTCATGTATTTCAGCAATTATGTTTTCAAGTCTGTCACCAATAGACTTCATTGTTAGATCACTCTAGGAACAAAACTCACAAAAACTTGAAATACAATAAATATTTTTGTCAAACAGTTTAATTTGCTTATTGTGTAAATAGCTTTTTTCCTAATGTTGTTTTGTAAGCACAAATATAATTCTGCACAAAGACAACTATTTTCAAGAGTAGGATTGTCTTATAACTGTGGTTTAAAAAAAAAAAGAGAAATGGTCTAGCCCTAAGTCTTCTTTAGGCATTTAACCACCAAGGAAGCTGCAGATTGCTGGACAGATAATTCTTCTTTTAAAAAAAAACAGGATAATTATAAATAGTTTTGGCTATCTTGCATTTAAACAAATGTAAAATGTCAACTCCCAAAGTCCCTTTTTATCAAATTGAACTAAAAGGAAAAATGTGGAATTTTTCTATTTGACACTATATATTTCCTGAGTTGTTTAAGTGGGAACTGATTTATATTAATAAGAGTCATCAAATCAGGATATCAAACTAGTGTTTTAATCCAATTCTTTATCCCTATTGATATTTCTACTGACTTCATTTGTTTAATTTTATCTTCCAGGATCATCGAAAGAAGCTATTACTGTTATAAAATCCAGAGAGCAGTTGAATACCAAAGATGTTTTCTCTCTTCCCAAACATATAAATCCCACATTTACCTTTTAAAGCTTTATATTGACTATCATCAGATTCTTTTAACCATTTTGCAACCAAAAGGAGAGGATGAGGAGATCTGAAGCTCACAGTAGCACATTAGTGTTTCTGATGCTTGTGATGATATTTGTTTGCATCCATTTTATTTTCCTTGTCAGGAATAAAATCTATAGTTGTTTCATCCAGTAAATTTTTTTCTGAACAGAATGAGGTATGTTCTAACAAATAAAGTGAGATGATGCAATGTGTTTCAAGAGTGTGTTACAAGCAGCTGCCAAATGTAAGTCATCAGAGCTGGATGGATCAAGGCAGAAACAAAAAGTGTGGAACATTCTAATGTAATGTTATATTGTATCTCAACAGCCCCACATTTTCTAATTTTCTATCAAAACCTTTGCTGTTTGATAGGCACATGAATAGAAGATTTTTCTAAATGTTGATTATCTAGAGCTCCCGACATCATTTACAAATAGGAATGCTGATACTTATAATTTAGCAACAATTGGATGAGCACAGGTCATCTATTTCTGTTTCAATGGCTATGCCTAATATACAAGAGACTTTACTTTCCATTATATCTCTTAGCTCTCTCTTCCTCATACAAAAGCCAAGTGTTTCTATTTTATAATAGTATCCATCTGTACACCTTAGATCCTAGAAACTAAAAGATAAATGATCTCTAGAATTTTTATCATGTGAAAATTTTTATTTGATCTTGAATTTATATTTATTACATGTTTTTTTTTTCTGAAGTGAAACAATTCATTACCTGATCAGACTCACCTCTTTATAGCCAAAAATTATACGGCCATCATTGAGAAGAGTTGCCTGAAAAGTGAAACTGCCCAGGTTGTAGTTATCTTGTAGATGTACATGATCCCATTGAACAACTAGTGCAGTGCCTGTCAAGTTGAGAAAAAGAGACAAAAATACTGGAGGAAAGTATATGATTGTAATTTAATAAATTAATTCAACTTCCTTGACTTTGATACCTTACAAAATTACCTGAATATCTAGAATCTGTTGTCAGTGTAAGCCATAACATAGGACAGCCTAGACTGGGGTAGACTAATCATATTACCATATTACCACAACTCAAGTAGTAATTATCTTCTAAAACAAACATTATACAGGAAGTGTAATTACACCCTCTTATGAAATATTGAACAAAATAAGGAGATGTAAAATTCAGGATTATTTCAACATTTTCTAAATAATTTATGGAAATAATCAGTACCAGTGACTTTCTAGAAGTATTGGAAATAACATTTTTTTGTATAACAAAAGATACTATGAATTGAAATACATCATCAATTGAATGGCTAATGTGCAAAAGAGCCAAAGCAGTAACAAACACTTATCTGAAAATAAGCTCAAAGAACATGGAAGTTGTACATCCAATATAAGAAATAATTTCATTCTAATTAGATTTATATATATTTTCTTTCAGCTTCCTCTAAATATCCTGTGTGTATATTAATAGCTCCCAAGGATCTACAGAATTCTTTTCCATGCAGAGACAATATAGCTGTCTTGCAAAAGCAGCCCTGGTAGCGCAGTGATTAGAATGCATTATTGCAGGGAAACCCTGCATATAGCATGGAGTTCAATCCTGATGAGCTCAAGGTTGATTCAGCTTCCATCCTTACTATATCAATAAAATGAGGATTCAGATTGTTGGAGGCAATGTACTGACACTCAGAGAGCGTTGTAAAGCATGATGGGCAGCATCTAGGTCTAAGTGCTATTGTTATTTGAGGCTCTAATTCTCCAAAAATATTTAATGCAAGACATATGGTAAATCTGTAGGCTCCATGTATCTAGTGGGTCTACCAATTATGGTACATATTTATCCAATTGTCAACATATTTTTCAAATTTCTTTAAACACAATTCACAACAATATTTCTGTATCTATTAGCATTACATTTCATAAAGGCTATGGCAAGTTAAAATTGCAGTGTTTAGTCATGGGAACTTAACTCAGTGGAATAAATATGCAGTTTGGATTAGAAATATTAACTACATGGAGTTATCTGACTAACAGTCTGTAAGTTTTAGAAATGTAAGATATCAAGGATATCAACCTCTATTACTGAAGAATAATTGTCACTTGACTCATGCTTCCCTAGATGTGGCCACCTTGATGGTTACAGGCAGCTGAAGTTGAAAATCAAATATGCTGCACCTAGCTAATACCTGGAGGAGAGACTACAGGAAATGTCAGACTGGTTGGCTTGGCTGGAAAATCAGATAAAAAGTATCTGGAAGAAGAGGATGGTACAACAAAGTAACACTGGGGTGTCTACTAAGTCCAGAAACAGCTCAGTTTTCATTCACCCGAATGTAATTTGGATTACTTCTGAAATCCTGTCCCTTGGTCTGATTATAGAAATTAGAATCCAGTAAAAATATGAAGTGCTACAAGGTCCTTGTTTCTGGTGTGCAAGAAATTCTGTGAGAATGAAAGGTATTTATTTCTCCAAGAAACCATAACATTATATAGAGTGCAATATATATGTAGATATAAATGGATGTTGACTTCTGTTTTTAATTATTTTAGGGTAGGTTGTTTTGTCATTTTATCTGAGGTTGCAAATTTTGCAACTACTTTTTTAATTAATTCATTGATTTAATTTCTAGCTTGCTCAATTTCAAAACAACTCTATGGCTTCACAAGTTAAAATAATCAATTTTATATAAAACTATAACCTATCTTCCAAGGGACAACATAATCTCCAATCACATACTTCAACTAGTACCGTGTTTCTCCAACAATACGGCTCCCCCAGCATGTTTTCTAGGCATTAGGTGAAATCAAGCCATTCCCCCCAAATTTAGGCCTATTTAAAACATGCGAAATGGGGGGGCAAGGGGGGAACTTGCCATTAGGAGCGGCCCTAATTCCTCGCCAAACAACCGATCATGGCAGAAACCCTCCCTCCCTCCTTCTTTTCCTGCCAAGCTTCCCAGAGGATTCTCTCTTTGGGATTTGCCAGGAGAAATCCATGAGGTGGATTTCCATCCTATTTCTATCCTTCAAGGAGATGAAGGTGGGGAATGCATTTAAGGGGGTGCTAAGGGTCTGTAGGATGATTCCCTTTCTCTTATGTTTGGATTGGAAGGTTTGCCTCTGCTCAAAGGGCAAAATGGATAGATGGTTACCTTTTTAAAACTACTGGGAGGGGGAGAGGAAGCTGCCCAGCCAGTCTGTATTCTTAGGAACTGACGGAGGGAATGAGAATAAAGAAAAGTTAAAGAGCGGGAAAAGGTCCACAGGGGTTTTTTGGGTGGCTGGAGCAAGGGGAGAGCGCCCAATCATACAGGGGACGAGACCGTGACCTGAAGCTGTGGGGTGGGAAGCAAAGCAAATTGTGTGTGTGGGAGAAATGATGGCATCACCCTCCTGCTGCCGCTTCCACCCATCGAAGCCCGAATGACTCAGCGACTTGCAGGACGTTGTTGATGCAGCTGCCATCAAGCAAAGTGATGCCCCTGCAAAAGGGCCGGTGGTTCTCATTGGTAGAGGGGTCTGTCCTGCCGCTGCTGCTGGTGTTGTTGGAGATGGCGTTGGCAAGAGAGGCACCACTACCGGCGGGAACCATGGAAGCTATGGAGGCAGCTCCCCTGCCTGAGAAGCGGCTGAAATACTGCTGGTGGAGGAATGCGCTCGAACCGTTCCTCCACCACTGGAAGAGCCACTTCTCCACTACCGCTGTGATGTTCAGCAGTGACTCCGGCCTCTGTGTCTTGCCCAGTGGCAGCACTCCAAATGCGGCATAAGCCATGACGAGGGTAGAAGGGAAAACGACGGCGGTGGAGGAAGCAGCAGTGGCAGCCGACGAAGTTCCCGTGCCGCAAAGTGCCCCACCGATGGCGACATCCACACTGCCGCCACTTGCCCGCTGAGCAGGCCTGCAGCCACCACCATAGCCGGGTCTGCATCAAAGGCGCTTGGCGGGAGTAGGGAGCCTTCCACATTCCGCCATGATTGGCTGTTAGGAGCGGCTGGTACCGAGGCATGGCTGCCCATGGGGTGCTCTAGGAGAGGGTGCGTGGGAGGGGAGAAATTAAGTAACCCCCGAAAAGACGGCCTAGCCATTTTTTCGAGGGTCAAAAGAAAATAAGGCCCAGCCTTATTTTCTGAGAAACATGGTACTTTAACCTAATGTCTGCAGGAAAAAATAATTATTTTTAAAGATTACTTAAATGTGGTCAGGTATATATAAGTACGTAACTATAGATTATGTATATAAACTCTTCTATATACATATACTATATATTGTATGTGTACTATGAGTGTTTTATTGTTATGATTGTAATTCGCAGGGAATCTCTTTGCTGCAGTGATCAAAGACTAATAAAATTATTTTGCTCTCTCCAGGCTAAAAGGTGGATAAACCTATTATTTTTTCAGAACTCAAGCTGTTAAATCAGCAATAATTCTACTGAATGTAGATACTATAGCTGCAATGCTTCTTCCTCTAAATCTAAATGAAAAAAAATCTAAATCCACCAATATCTCAGATTAATCAGAAGTTTACAGTAGTGGAAAGGCTGGAATACATACAGAGGACAACAAGTAGGATGGTGTAGGAGGTAAAACCCAAGCCTTATGGATGGATTAAGGAGTTGAGCATGACTAGTTATAAAAGAGAAAACTAAGACCACAACATGTAAATATTATGCTGTTGTTGCTCTAGCCCCATTTAGTGGCCGGGGACAGATAAACCTAACAATATCATCTGAAGCCAGGCTCCATTTTCTGTCAGCCTTTGGAGAAGACAGAAGCACATTTAGTTTAGTTTACTTTATTGTCATTGCACTTTGTACAACAAAATTAAATACCATCTTCAGTGTACATTAGGACTATTAAAATAAACACAAACACACATCCTTCGCATTCTATACACTGAATTGAAAACCCCTGATATTGCATTAATATTGCACTATTCAGTAGAATTCAATAAAGTTACTGCCCTGGGATAGAAGCTGTTTTTCAGCCTATTTGTCCTTGGTTTTATTATCCTGTACCGTCTGCCAGATTGTAATAGTTCAAAAAAAGGGTGCACAGGATGAGATGGATCTTTGAGAATGTTTTGAACTTTCTTAAGGCAGTGGGAGCTATAAAGCTCTTCCAAAGAGGGAAGAGGGCAACCAATGAAGTTCTGTACAATGACATTAACTCTCTGGAGTGCTATCTGCCACTGTGCAATTGGCAAACCATACAGAAGTGCAGTAAATATACTCTCTATGGTGCAGCAGTAGAAGGTCACCAGCAGTTTTTCATTCAGTTGTTGTTTTCTGAGAAGTCTCAGGCAGTATAATCTCTGCTGGGCCCTTTTGACTAATGCTACAATGTGAGCACCCCCGGTCAGGTTCTCTTTTATGGTAAAACCCAGAAACTTAAAACTGGTCACTTGCTCTACTCGGTCTCCATTGATAAGCAAGGTCTGCATGTCTGATCTGTTCTTTCCATAGTCCACTATAACTCATTGGTCTTAATGGTGTTGAGGACCAAGTTATTGTCTCCACACGATGAAAACAACCGCTCCATCTCATCTTGGTAGGCAGACTCATCCCCCCCAGAGATGAGTCCCACCACAACCAGCCATTTCGACCATGACACAACTGGAAACTGGCTACGTCCCTCACACAGAGCATTGCTCGTGAAGTTCAGGCTGCTTATTTGTTGGTTGTTATGTTGGTTGTTGGTTAATGCTGTCTATCTCGTATTTATATTTTATTTTCACTATTTGTATTTCCTCAGTTTCACCGTACCCTGTTCTCACAACAAAACATTCAGATCCATGCCACGGTCTTTTTCATTGAAGAACGGGGGTGGGGTGGGGGGGGTGTTAGCTGTCTGTCGAGCTGCACACAGAACAGCCGTCGACTAATACATAAATGGCAGTCAGAGGAAGATGTTTTCCCTATTTAAAACAGGACAAAGATCAATATATCAGAATTAAAAATCTGAATGATAGATTCCTTTTTGCTGAAAATTGGCAGGGTAGCAGCTGCCAGGAATACCTTACAGTAGTGGATTCTGATAAGTGAACTGGTAAGCTGGACTAAATGATTTACAATATTCCTTCCGACTTTTATGTTTTGTAAATCTATAAAAGAGTGGATGGCTTAATTAACTCAAATATATATATTCTTTGTACAGTTCCAGCAACAAAATTGGATTTTGTTTTTGCATCTTACAATTTTATGTCAGATACTGACCTTTGAGAGCAGTAAATAAAGGCAGGGTTATTCAAATATTATACAGTACTGACACTTCAATTATCTTTATGAAGTTTATTAACCTCTGTGTTCCTATAATATGCCCTATGTTTATATAAAATATGACACAAATAAAAAATATTTTAATTCATTAATGGATATTATGCAAATGGTACTAAAAAGAAAACACTATAGATTCATTTTTTTAACAATGCTAACTGAAATTTTATATAACAACTAAAGCTTTTATAGCTTTTATGGATTATAATAATGGATAATACATGCCTAGAGACTCTAGCAGCAAAATTTTAACTAAATTAAAGTTTTATATGCAGAGGAATAGCTAATTAAATGTATTACATTTTAAAGAGCTAAATATTATGATCAATCCACTGTGTAATTTCCTACAAAGGGAAACAAACAGCAGCTAAACTAAAAGTAATCTGAACAAAACTATTCATGCTTACCATTATCAAAGTATCTTACAGTAGAATTTCTCGAAACACTGGGGTCAAAATTGGCCATCAAGGGTGCAATATACTGTGTTGCTGTTAACATCTGATGCACAACTTCTCCTGTGTAAATAAACCCTGTAAAAAGAGAACAAATAGCAAAATCACATCACTTATCATTAAAAAGATAATACATGCTACTCTTAATTAGAGGCTGCCAGAGTATCTTAGAACTTGACCAGGAAAATTATTTTCAGTCTTTATGAATGAATCTGAGTTGCTAAAGAACATCAGAATTTCAGTGATGGAAAAAAATAAACATAAAAGCAAAAAAGAAGGATCAAACTTGAAAGGAAAAAAAATCTACTTCAAAGTTTAGCAAAGTTTTAGGGGAGGGTTTGTGATTAGCAACCAGTTTGAAAAGGGGAAAATTTAAAAAATTACACAAAGGATCTTCTGGATTCACAAGTTTGATTGCCTCTTACTATGTGAAAACTACCATGCATATTGTGGCATTTTTTTAGATTAGAAGATTAGAATTCTTTATTGGCCAAGTGTGATTGGACACACAAGGAATTTGTCTTGGTGCAAATACTCTCATTATACATAAAAGAAAAGATATATTTGTCAAGAATCATAAGGTACAACACTTAATAATACTCATAGAGTACAATAAGCAATTAAATCATAGTAGGAAACAGTCAATATAGATTGTAAGGATACAAGCGACAAAGTTACAAACATACAGTCACAGGTGAGAGGGGATGGGTGATAAGAAGTGATGAGAAGATTAATAGTAGTGCAGACTTTGTAAATAGTTGGACAGTGTTGAGGGAATTATTTGTTTAGCAGAGTGATGGCGTTTGGGAAAAAACTGTTCTTGTGTCTAGTTGTTCTGGTGTGCCATTAGCGTCGTTTTGAGGGAAGGAGTTGAAACAGTTTATGTTTGGAATGTGAAGAGTCTGTAACTATTTTCACTGCTCTCTTTTTGACTTGTACAGTATACAGGTCCTCAATTGAAGGCAGGTTGGTAGTAATTGTTTTTTCTGCAGTCCTAATTATCCTTTGAAGTCTGTGACTATCCTGTTGGGTTGCAGAAACAAACCAGACAGTTATAGAGGTGCAGATGACAGACTCAATAATTCCTCTGTAGAACTGTATCAGCAGCTCCTTGGTCAGTTTGAGCTTTCTGAGTTGGCGCAGAAAGAACATTCTTTTTGTGTTTTTTGATGACGTTTTTGATGTTAGGTGTCCATATTAGGTCATGTGATATAATAGAACCTAGAAATTTGAAGGTCTCTACTTTTGATATTGTGTTGTTTAGTATTGTAAGACGTGGTAGTATGGGAGGGTTTCTTCTAAAGTCTACCACTATTTCTATGGTTTTAAGTATGTTCAGTTCCAGATTGTTCCGGTTACACCACAAGGCAAGTTGTACAACCTCCTGTCTGTATGCGGATTTGTCGTTGCCTCGAATGAGACCAATTACTGTTGTGTCATCTGCAAACTTCAGTATTTTAACAGATGGATCATTTGAGATTGATATATGGGGAGAAGAGAAGTGGAGAAAGTCATTGATATATAGGGAGAAGTAGAGAAAGCACACAGCCTTGGGAGGTCCCTGTACTAATTGTACAGGTATCAGATGTGATTCTGCCTTGCTTCACCTTCTGCTATCTGTCTGTTAAGAAGCTTATGATCTACTTACAAGTGTGTTCAGGTACTGCTAGTTGGTTTAATTTAGTTAGAAGAATGTCTGGAATGATGGTATTGAATGCTAAACTGAAGTCTACAAAGAGAAGCCTTGCGTAGGTATTTGGAGATTCAAGGTGTTGTAGGATGTAGTGCAGAGGCAATTGTTGATCTATTTTCTTGGTATGCAAACTGCATGGGATCTAACAGCGGATCCGTGATGGTTTTCAGGTGGGACAGCACTAGCCTTTCAAAGATTTTCATAACTACAGATGTTAAAGCAACTGGTCTGCAGTCATTCAATTCCTTGATGGAGGGCTTCTTCGGCAATGGGCATTTTAAAGATTACCACACTTATGTAGCACAACCTTTTGAGAGCTATGCTTATACACTGTCATGGATATATTTCTTGCACAAGGATTCAGAGCAGTGAAATTGTAGGGAAAAATAAATCTAATGAAGTACAGAATGGGATAACTACTTTAAACCTTAATTATTTCAGTAGCTATTCACAAACATATATAGCTTTTCTGTTTCAAAAACTTTTAAAAAGTAAGAATTGGTGTTACATTATATTTTAAGTGATTGTATACTACGTGGAGAGTTCCTATTATTAGACTATCTCTCTCTCATTTACTCTCTCTCACACACACACTTTTAAGTGCTATTGAGTTCAGTTAGAAACACCAGATTCCAAAAAGGACAATTTTATACTGCAGGTTTCCCAATCTGTTGCTATTATTTTGATTCATGTCAGATTTGTAATTTCTTTCTAAAGTAACCACATTCAATGGATGTCTTCACATTATTCCCAAATGATGCAACTTATAGGCAATGCTGCAAAATGTATCCACCAAGCAACTGGAAAACTATAATTTCATCTTTAAATTACATTCCTTAGTAAATATCATGGATGCTTTTAACCTTTTTCTTGAAGAGAGAAAAATAATTACAAGTTTATCATAGTTTCTAGGATCCAATGACAATTCCAATCAATAAAAGCTGGAAAGCTACAAGATTAATCAGATTTAAATGAACACTTATTTATTTAATCTATCTGTATGTCACCTCAATTACAAAAGCAACTGTAGAATTTTACTTGATGTATTGAACATTTTATCATTCCCACTTACACACTGAATCAACCACAATGTCAGCTAAGCAGATTCTTGAATAGATTTCCACAGAAATTTGGCAAAAACTAGTTTACATTGTCTAAGATCCAGTTTTCCAATAGCTTTTGCTCTTAGTTGATGCTACAGGAGTCTGTGAAAGTATTCCAAATCTACAGTTTCCTAAAGTATTTAATCTTATTTTTTGAAAGGATATTGAAGCTTCTGAAATCTTCCTGATCTTGGTTCTCTTCAGATGTATTGGACCTAAACTATCACAATCCCAAACAAGCATATGCTAGCTGTGAATCATAGGAGTTCAAATTCAACATTCTAAAAAAAAAAGTATCTTGGAGAAAGCTGATTTATAGATCAAATCATATGACACTATGTTCTAAACTACTGGAATCAATTAATGTAATTAGTAAGGTACTAAAGGAGATTAAAAAATGCAATATAATTTAGAGGATAAACTAGGAAATTTAAAAACATAGAAATGACTTGTACAGCTCCTGAAATAAGTGCTTTTGTTATAAATGTTCCATGACTTCCATTTAGTAATATGGATGGCACACTCAAATAATAAAGTGTATTAGTTACACTTTTTAACAGCACTCACCTAATAGCACTCAATGGTACTGTTTGTCAAAAGATGGCTACCCCAAATGTGGAAATTCTACTTGCAAAGTGGGACAGGTATTTAGGAAATTCCAATGGATGCTGTCAAGCTGTGAGAAATTTCCACAGTAGATTGAATTTTGCTCAAATCTTTACCAAATTCCTCTCTTCTGGTTTTAGATGTCTTATTTTCTTAATTCAGTTTTTCCTGCTTTATATTGATATACATTCAATGATGTAGATTACAATTCACAAAAAAATGCAAGGAAGGGTAAGAAAATTCTGCCTCAGCTTTAAGATTTTTGGCACCAATTTGCTCACATAGTATAATATCTGCCACTTGATACTTTTTCCCTTCTTAAAACCACCTTCATTTTAAGTGTATGCCTACTATAATATATTTATAGCTATTACAGACAACTAGAATTGAATCTATATCATAATAAATATGTTAAACTCTTCTCCCCCCCACAACATTGTGCCTTGAAGTATAAAATCCATTTCATTTATTCCAAGCTTCATAGGTTCCTGAGCACAGGGTGAAGAAACCTGACTAGGTAGGATCTATTTTTTTATTATTTCAGTATTAGCCTACAGTCCAATAACATAAGCCTAAGAATAAAATATTATAAAATATATTGTATTTGGCACAGACTTAAAATGAAGGCAATTTTAATAGAGGAGCGAGCATCAAAATGGCAGGTGTTATTCAATTTGAGCAAAATGGTGCCAAACATCCAAACTATTCATACAAACATATGAGATCAGAGCTGACAGTGACTGATGAGTAAAGAGATCTTGAAATGGTAAAGGATTTGGTCATGATATTGACACAATATACATTTGCTATAAAAAGATTCAACAGCATGTTAGGGATAATAATTAAAGTATTGAAAACAGAGATGCCAACATTATAATGCCTTTATATAAATCAGTGGTGTGAGTGCATGTAAAATGTTGGGTGAAGTTCAGAGGAGCCAACTAAGATGAGCAAGCAGCTGAAGCAGATTCTCTAAGAGGAAAGATTGTGAAACTTGGGGCTTTTTAGACTAGGGAATAAACAAATGAGAATGAATTGGAATGAAGTGTATAACATTATGTATGGTGAAGACAAAAAGAAGCTATTTTCCTTTCCCAAATATTAGAATCAAATTCATCTAATGAAATTTAATCCTGTAAGACAAAAAATATTTTTATACAACATGCGATATTTAAGACTGGAATTCATTACCACTAGATTCTATGGAACTACCACTACAGGTAAAACTCGAAAAATGACAATATTGTGGAAAAGTTCATTTATTTCAGTAATGCAACTTAATGAACCTAATCTATGAGATAGACTCATTACATGCAAAGCAAGATAGTTCAAGCCGTGATGTGTCATAATTGAGATGATTATGGCTTACAGCTCATGAAAACCCCAAATCCACAATCTCAGAAAATTAGAATATTGTGAAAAGGTTCATTATTCTAGGCTCAAAGTGTCCACTCTAATCAGCTAATTAAGCCATAACACCTGCAAAAGGTTCTTGAGCCTTTAAATGGTTTCTCAGTCAGGTTCAGTAGGAATCACAACCATGGGACAGACTGCTGACCTGACAGTTGTGCAGAAAACCATCATTGACACCCTCCATAAGGAGGGAAAGCCTCAAAAGGTAATTGCAAACAAAGTTGGATGTTTCCAAAGTGCTGTATCAAAGCACATTAATAGAA